CAGGACACAATTATAAACTGTGGCTGAGTCTGAGGAAGCTAATGTCTCTTTTGTTGAGCGTGCCTCCTCAGGAACAGTTGAGAAACTAAGGGATGGAGATAAGAAAAGAAAGCTGCTTTGTCAACCCCAGGGATAAAAAAAAAATCACAAGTTGAGCCCTTGAACAGTATGAAATTGGCTGAAAAAATATTATAGCTTTGGAAGTACTTTTATTTGCTCTGGGTTTTGGGTCTTTAGGAAGCCATTGCTTCACATTTTCAAGCTTTCCTCTACCACCTGGAGGTTAGAAATTTCATTAAAAACATAGGTGAAGATGCTCCTGCAATCATTTGACTTCAGCCGTTAACCCTTCGAGAAGATCCCCATAACGCTGAGGGTAAGAGTGTGATTAAAAGGCAAGGTTCCCTCTGATCTGAAGAGGGGAGATGTGTCTTCAGCCTGCAGCCCAGGCATTATAAAACATAATCATCGTTATTAGTATCACCAAGAGAAAAGCGGCTTGTGTCCTTGAAGCACCTCTTGCGCGGCGGGGGCCCTGGGAGGGCCGCGCGCAGGAGCCGGAGGCTCTCCGGGACGCAGCCCGCGGGGGCACCACCAGTGGGGCAGCCGAGCCCCCCGCCTGCCCCAGCCCTTCCCAGCCCCCGCTGCCAGGCACCTTTTAAGCAGCGGTCACGGAGGCAGAACCAGGGGAAGGAAACGCGCCTCTCCTTGAGATCGGGGCTCTGGGCTCTTGTTTTTCTTGTCTCCTTGCCTTCACGGTACCTTTCTGCAAGTTATTCTGAAACCAACTCTTTTCTGGTGTGTGTCGCACGCACCCCCAGCACCCTACCTTCGGGGGGAGGGCGCAGGTCTGCACCCAGGGCTCGTTTTGGTGCGCTCCTGGCGCCATCTCACGGCCAGACAAACGTCCTGAGCTTGGCCGGCCTCGCGGGAGGGCGCAGCGGTGGGTGCGCGGCTCCGGCGCTGCACACCGGGGAGGAGGAAGCCCGTCTTCTTCAGAGTGCCTGGTGTTGCTCCAACGCTCTTCTCACAAGCTAAATGATTTTAAAGAGACCATAATCTCATCTATGAAGGTGTCTTTTAGCAGACCTAGACATTCTTCTGAACTCATACGTGTGAACAAGAGGACCATATCCCAACTCTGCGGGTACGTGTTTGTCTTTCTCGACCTTCCTTTCTATAGGAGAAGTCCAAGTGTGTGGGCTGGAGGAGCTCGATGCCCTCCGGCTGACTCCCAGCCTGGGTGTCCGGCAGAACATGGCTGCAGGACAGCCGGCCCTGTGCCCCAGGCCAGTCTAGGCACACGCCGGGTGACTGGCTGCTTAACACCGACTGAAAAAAAATACCTGGTTACTCCTTCCCCGAGTGCCTTGCGCTTGAGGAAGGCATACCTTCTAAAAAGACACCCGGTCTGGCTTTGGGGATGCCAGGAGTGTCCCCTCCTGGTCCTAAAAGAGAACTGCACTACTGTACAAAATCTCAAAAGAAGCGCTTAAGAGGATTTTGTGAAATGCTGATTCTGCGGCAGAAATGCCAAAGGTGAAAAATATCTGGATCAGGATGTGAATTTCTCCGAACTTATCAGTGCTTTTATCTCAAGCTGCCCTTAAAACCATCTCTCCATCTCTTAGTACATGCTATTAAAACTCCACCTTTTCCATAATGTTAAAAGCATCGAAGATCTAGTTAAAGACTGGTTGTTCAAGTGTGAGGTCAAGCCCGAATGCTGGGGTTGCAGGAGTCAGAGCAGAGCCAGCTCCTCACATGGGTATGACAATGTTGGCTGTGAGTATTTCTGTGGAGTTGGTGCTGGCAGGAAGGACACAGACAGTTGATGATATTTCAGCACAGAGGCTAAAATATCTGCAATCCTGAAAATGCTGAAGAGCACCATGATGTTCTAGCATGCTGGACTCTACCTCCCAGCGGTTACAAGCATGCCATATACAGAAGGAAGAGCCATATGAATGTCCCCGGCCACAAAGCCAACAGCCGGTGTGACTTTTTAGCCACTTAGTCTGTGACTGACCTAACTCCGTAAGCGTTTGATCCTTACATGGAGAACACGCCTGAAGTTCACAGGCATATCCCATCACTGCTACAAACACAGGAAACAAAGCAGGCCCTCCTGAACCTCTTGCCACCTCCAATGGACCTTATGGCCAGTTTTCTCACGCCGATACCTATTTGAAGACGTGAAAGTGTCACAGGGTTCACTACCCAGAATGTGGGCAGCACATGCACCATGCGCTCGCCACACTCGTCAGCCCCAGACTCACATTCTGGGGGTGAGGTGCTGGGAAGGCATAGCCAGGCGTAGCGTCTCCTTGGGTCAGTCTCTGGCTCAAGCCAACAGCTTGTTCACTGAGTGGGAGAGGCTCAGGGCCCATTATCTTCCTGACGCCACGAGCCACATATCAAAGTCTTTATAAGGTGAGAGCCACAAAATACCACAGAGAGACAAGGGAAACGGAAGCTCTGGGAGGAGTCTTTTAAGCGGGAGACGACAGCAGCTCCCCAGAGGTTGGTTTTGTGAGAAAGGGTTGAGGCTGAGCATGCAGCTGGGTGCTCAGGCACCTCAGCAATGTCAGATGACGGCCTGTGCTGGCTGGCTGGCTCTCACACCTGGGGACTCGTGTCACTCAGCAGCTCCTGTGACAGCCCAGCCCGGCTGCTGGCCACGTGGCAGAACCTTGGCATGGGGACCACACGAGAACTGGTTCTGAGCTGGAGCTAGAAGTGCTCTAGCAGGGAAACTTGTGCTGCTCTGAAGGCTCAGAAATAGTACTGGTTGCTAAAGCTGGCTGATGATAAACCAATTCCCCTGCTCAGCAGCCTTCCTTTCTGTTGTTGTGGTCACAACAAAATAATATTGATATGAACACACAACTGACACAAACATACAAGGAGATCGTATGAAGCTGCTCTGGAGCAGACTGTATACCCCCTCCTTGGAAGATCAAATCCCAAGGCAGGATCTGCCCTGAAACCTGCAGTATGCAGCGTCTGCGGTGTGCACGTGAACCCTCATGAACTCCAAAGTTGTCAGTGGAACTGCACAAATTTTAAACAAGTGTGAAAGGATAAGCAGGCTCCCACTGTTTAGGGAGCTAAAATGCATTATGCAAACAGTCTGATTCTGCTCTCACATCAATTTTGCATCATTCTAGCTCATGGTTTTCAGTAGTTACCCTCAGCTGACATTCATGCAAGTGTTGGAACAAAAATAATGCTTCTATATCTTTTGTCATTCAGTTGTTTCTCTAGAGCAAAATTTGTACCAGTGCAGGGACCTGTCCCATGTTTCAGTTCTAGACACATTCTGAGCACTGAAATGCAACGTAAAAAGACTGTGAGTGGTATGCAGAGGTCACTGCAATGCGTTGCCTTTCACCCCTAGCTCCAAAGCCCCCCGGCAGCAAACTGCATGGGAAGTGCATGGTATTAACAGAAAGATTACCCCTTCACTGGTTTTCTGCAAATCTGAAGAAGTGTTTCTTGTGTCATTGCCTGCGTCCCCAGCATCAGAGCTGCTCTTATTTTCTTCCTCTTTGCAGTCCTTATCATCTTCATCTCCAGGAGATTTCCGTGACTGCTTGGAGGATTTCTAAAAATGATCAACAACAAAGTTAAAAAGTAAAAACTGAGTGTCAGCCATAGAAAGACACTTCCGTAACGTTATGTGAAATACTGTCTGATCACGTGGTTCCCTGTGCAAGGTGAATATTGGGGAGGGTATGTGGGTTGAAAAGTGTTTTTAAGGTGAAGTAGTTGGAGTTACTGCCGTCAGTGAAGCAAAAGGAGAAATTCTGCCTTCAACACCGGTTACCAGCACAGTTGACTGTAAGACAGACACAGTAATGGGAGATGGGTATTAGTGTTGGGTCACCTGTAGGTTTTGTTAGTTAATGAAACAGATGGTGCCAGCTTGACAAAAGTTTTGATTAAACACAGAGATGTAAAATGAGAATAACGTTAGCAGAGCTGCTTTCCATACTTTTTTTAGTGCTGTCAGCTTTAATATATTAACATTAAAGCCATGTGGAACCAATACATCTTTTCTGCTCCCTTTATGCTATGCAATTCTACAGTACAAAAGGATAAATTGTGGCATTAAGCCACCATTTTCCTAATCCTCTGTTTGCCCAGAGTCTTCTGGAAAGAAGATGGTAGACTAGACCTGAATTTCTAATCTAAAACACACAAAGGGGTTGAAATTACTTAATGCATTTTGTTCAGTGGATAAGCCATGAAAACTCCTGCTCTTCCCCAAAATGAGCCCGGATCAGATTGTTTGCTTGCTTCTTTTAATTTCATTTAGTTTTCCCTTTCAGAGAAGAATAACATGAATGTGAATGAACATGACTGCCATGCTGTCCACAATTTTTTAAGCAAAGTACAGACCTGGAGGCACACACAGAATGGGAGGAAGTGACTGTAATGTTGCTCTCTTTCACTCAGGTGACAAGTGAGAAGTGTATCTGAACCCAAAGTTGTCGCTACGCAGGTGATAACGTTCACCAGCCATTTTGAGGTGGTCTGAAACACATTACTCTTGGCTTCCTCATCTGCGCTGTTACTTAGATATTAACAGGGCAGGTAGGTACCACAAGGCAGGTCCTTCATCTACAAACTGAGTGCCCTACTACCTGCTTAATGAATTAGTTCTTCCTCCCTCCCATTCTGCATCCTGTCCTGCACTCAGCTACAACAGGAGCAGCTGAGCACATCTGACCCTACCATACCTTTTGGCACGGCACCTGGGGCGCGCACACTGGGGATGGGAGAGGGAACTTGAATTCTCCTGGACAGGAACCAAACCTGAACTCACGTCTCCCAGGAGGCACACTCCTAAGGCTTTTTTTGCTCTTCATGGGGAAATACCCAGCTTAAGGTGATCAAACCTATCAATCCATCTTTGCATGGATTTTCTTTCCAGCCCTTCTGAACTCCTTCCCATACTTTCACCTCCTTCCCAAAGCATGGACACTATTTCAGCTGCTGTCTCATGAAGGCTGTCTACAAAAGCAGGAGCACTTCCCTTTGCCTGTTTGAACACCATCATTACGGTACTGGAATCAAAGTGCCAAAGAAGGAAGAACAGATTGCCATGAGGTGGACAGTATTCTAATTATAAATGCACATGGGTAACGATGGAAAAACTCAGAAGATAACCTTTGAAGTGTAGGATTTTTTCCGTTTTGAGCCTGCTTTTTCATTCTTTCTTTTTCCTTTTCCATCCTCTTCTACCCGATCACCTTCCTCCTCACTGCTGGCATCTGCTGTATTTCCTCCTTCTCCTTCAGTTTCTGATGAGCTTTGTTGCTGAATTGCCTTTAAAATAACAATAATAACGTAAACAACAAAAATATCACTAAAATCTATTACTTAATTTTTGTTCTGTATTGAAGATAGAAATACTGGTAACAGACAGATTATACTTTAATCGCTATAGTCAGGAAGAGCTCAGGTTATTCTTGCAATTATCAAGAAAAAGGGCTGCAAAGGCAATTTTGTCAGTCACCGCTTGAAAACAGTTATCAGATGCAGATTCTGGGATAGCACGTTCTGAAGGGTTTACACAGAAACAGCAGAACTGATAACAAAAATGTGTTTGCCAGAGAACTAAGGGTGGCTCAGTGGAGAGACCTGGCATGTTCTACTTTGGGCAAAGTTAGGGAAACTTTTAGATTTTGGCTGAAATAGGAGAGACTTATTCATGAGAGTAGATGGCTGTTACAAAACCCCCCAAAGGGTAAGATCTCTGTGTTAGGAAAAAGCAAACACTGACCAGAAGGCTGAGAGCTCTTTGACAGTCCCTCTCCCACAGATGATTCACTAGGTTTTTTTAAACCCCCCAAGTGTATGCAAAACATCTGTGGGGCTGAAAATATGAAACAGGAACTGAGAGGGGCAGCAGCTTGTCTGCAGGTGGTCCGTATCTCTGGTTTGTAAGGTTCTGTGCTAATAATGTAATAGGTGTTCGCCTTCTTTTGGAGGTGATTTCTGCCTTCAAAGGACCACATTTTTTTTAATAAGAAAAGTCCTTTGGTTTTATACAGCCCACCAACTACTCTTCTCCCCCTCCAGCTTCACTGACTTTTTGCTTTGAACATCCAACAGGGAGAGCTGTTGTACAGCAGCTACTATCTTGTAACAGCAGCTTAAACCTCCACCTTCTCACCCCTCACAACTTTGGCAGTGGTGTCCTACGTGTTATACATTACCAATGTAAAAATCAAAAGTACAGTGACCTTAAGGTCTGTGTAAAATACACTGAACCTGATACAAAAATAAACAACAGAAAGAAGTCAGAAATTATTCATGTTTCAGTACATAAAACCTTCCATTTTTAATTCAACTAAACCTGCTGCAGAATTTTCCACTTCACCACCCCAGAATATCACGGAAAGCAAAGGGCCCTGCAGCATGATTAAAGTTCAGTTTGTCACAGCGGACAAGACCACAGTTGTCTTTACACGACACAATTACAAAAGCTGTGAATCTTCCTAGCTCCACCAAACCCAGGACCTTCCACATCACTCACACGATGTTTACATTGACAGGAAGTCTTCAAAGAAGAAAACAAGAAAGATAAGGAGGAATAGAAGTGAAAGTAATTTACCTGATATCCAGTAAACTTTACTCCAGGGTTGTTTTCTATTTCCCACAGGCCTTCATTAAATCCTTTTCGCTTGTTCGACTTCCCAAACTTATCTTTATATTCTTTATATGGGAAAAGGTCTTTGGGCCCCAGGAACGCGCTGCATTTTAACAAAGGTAACATTCAAAAAAGGACTTAAATTCCTCCTCTTCAAAACAAACAAGAAAACCAAATAGCATTAACAGTGCAAAAGTTTTCCCTATTCTTCTGCTCATTCCGTAATTTCTTTTTCAGTTTTATTTATTTGTTTGTTTGCTTATTTATTTATTTAACGCACTGGCTTTGAGTTACTGCTGTGGGTCTGATTTAATGGATTGGCACACCATCCTGATGTTTGATGTTGCAAAATCATGCCGGGTCTCTCTAGAAACAACTAAAACCAGTCTCATTTATTATATTAACTACCGCTGGGAACTGGCACTTGCACAGTTTATGAAAGGGATTATATGACGTAATTGCCTGCGATAGCAAGGGACCAAACTTCCAACACTATGTGTTACAAATCCAGAAAGGCCTAAAAATACCGCATGAGAAGTTAAAGCATGTAAGGAGTGCCTATAACCCATGAGCCAAAACTCATCCCTTGTACTATGGGACAGAAAAAACTGTGACATTTATTATTATCTATACTGCCAGTAAGCCTGGGAGCTTCTTTCTTGGAATAAGCCCCCTACATGCTGGATTCTGTGCAAACACAATAAAAATGCTCTCTTTCCCGAAAATCTTATAATTTCATATAAGACAAGAAACAATGGGTGAATATAGGCAGATGAGTAATACAAGGAAACAATGAGACACACAGGGTGCTTGTGGCCAAATTGTTTTTTAGACAGCACAGCAAAGGAGGGATTTTGTGCTCTGCTGCTGCACAAGTCAGCTATGCACTGGGCCAACTAATTTCGGGCACAGGCACCACAATGCAGGGAAAAATAATTTAAAAAAAAATAACGGTGATTTATCTTGCTTTTTCTACATACTTTACAGTAAAACTCTAACTTCTTACATAAAACCGAGGAAAGCATAATTTCCTTTTCATTTGGTATCTATACCCAGTGTGTTTACTTTGCTCTGTATCACAGTACTGGGATGGCTAATTGTAAGTTAAAAACAGTGAAGGCAAAAAAAACCCCTTCGCTCCCACATGGAAGATTCTATGTCACCAACGAAGCACCAGTGTGCTGAGCAAGTCACAGTGCCCTTCACTATAATCACTGTCCTACTTTCCTGATGATCATTACAATTAATGTTAACTCTACGGTCTCCATTACCACGGGATCGCAGAGCTCCACCCTTTACAACACATCTATTCTTGTAACTTCACCACGAGGTTGGGAAGTTGCCCTTTTTTGCAGACGGGCTTCTGAGGCGCAGAGATCTGCCCAAGGTCAGACTCAAACTGACAGCAGAGTACAGAAGAAAACCCAACTCTCTTCAGTCTCAGTCTAATACCTTAATCACAGGATCGTATTTCTTCCTTGCTGTAAACATTACTTCAGATGATGCCTGATTTATGCCCTGATTCTTCCCTGCGCTTCTGAATGTGCGAAGTTTCATTAACTTAAATCATCCCACTGGCCAAGAAGTTTGCCAGTACAGAGCCAACTGGTGGCTAAAGGCATCAGATGACAAGTGACTGGGGAAAGAGCTTGCTTTCAACTATACAGGAGACAGAATGGTATCCACACTCAAGTTGTGCCATTGAGAAACATCTCAATTATATAATTACAAAGCCAAGAATGCATTTCTACCTGAAAGCCAAGCAGTGATTTCCAAACTAACAGATGTCTCGTTAACATTAAAGGCTACAATAAAGCAAGGGATCTGAATAAATTATTTTGTCCATGCTTTTGCTAATACTAGATGTCTCCTTGTTGCCAAAGATATATACAATCAGTTCTAACACAAATAACAAAGGAAAACTGTATGAAACTTACCATGAGCTACCTTAATTTAGCTCAACAGTAATGTATGGAAATGTTTCTGCAGCATTTTGTGTCCAGTAAACACTGAAAAATTGTCTACATCTTTGTTTGAAATACATTCATTGCCACTGGGAGGGTATAACCGTTTCTACTGCTCTGCTATAAAACTAAGGAGCTGCAATCTACAGTTCATTTTTAAGAGTTGTGCTTTCCAAATTATTAAGGTAGTAACTACGAACTGCTTTCCTGTTTGTGATGTTACAGTCAGATCATGGGCTAACAAAATCCAAACCAAAAGAGATTAGCAGTTTGGGATTCATTCATTTCAGAATAAAAGTGGTCCATTAAAAAAAAATAAATTATGTTTTGGTTTCTGATTTTAAAGCATCATAAGTTTATTTGAACTTTATTATTTTTTGATTATTTTGTGACAGTAGTAGTAGATCACAATATATCAAAACACCAGGTTGTTTCATTACAGCAATAGGAAGAAATATTTTGACTAAGGAGAGGCTATTTTAATCTTTATTAGCAGAAACTGCCTTTAAACATTTTGAAAATAAAATGTGGCGTATGAGCTATAGGGCTTATGTTCTGGAATAATGTTAAAATTAAAAAATAAACAATAAATTTTAATAAAGCTTCAAACCTCTACAACTGAATTTAAGATGTCATCAGAATTTCATTTTTAAGGAATTCTAGAAACCATGTTCCCTGCAAGTGGGGAAGGAAAAGTTTTAAAATGTAAACATTTCATGCAAAATGGAAACTGTGATTTTTTTTTACCTCAGACATAGTTTAAAATAGAGACATGTACATTATAATTTTGAAACACTGTACTTTGTAGCAATTACTATGAGACCTAACTTACCCTTTCTGATTCATTTCTTTCCCGATGAGCTCAGCCAGCTCAGTTCTTCTATCACTTCTGAGAGCTCCATCCTCCAATATCCCCAGCACAAATCTCACAGGAATGCATATATTTTAAAGCTATGTGAGGACTGCGTGAGACCCTGGGATCTGCTTCCTTTCATTCTGCAAACTACCAAGCGAGTTCTTACACAGGACATGACCCCAAACATGTCTGAATACAGCAGCCTGCTCTCTCCTATCATGTACATCCAAGTAAAAAATGTTTACCCCTGCATCTGAGTTCAGATGACCCTTCAATAAATTTATGCCAACACTTTACTTTACAGAAAACATGGGCAGTGGCTATTATTTATGCTTAGACTGTGGTATACCACCCACGCAGCCGCATTCCCACCTACTTTCAGGTTTCACTTCCATGTGTTAATACAAGTAAGTTGGGCTCATAGGACTGATCTCTACGCTCCCAATGGCTTCAGTCAGGATTTGTTCCAGTAAAATCAGTGGAGATTATGTTAGCTGCAGTGGAAGAAGACATTTTCAAAGGAATAGATCACATTCATTCACTTACGTTTCATGAGTCCCGAAAAAGAAGATGGGGTATTTATTTGCTGGAGGCTTAACGGCTCCTTCAGGGAGTTCGTCAATCTGTGAGACAGAAATGGAAAAAGGATTATTCCCAAATGTGGTGTCCCTCATCCAAGAATCCCTACCGAGCCATGGAAGTGCTAGTGCAGGTATCCTGCAGGCCGGGGAGGCCCCACTGTGTGCTGGGGTGGGGAAGGGAAAACAGCTGGTGATTTTTCAGGCAGACAGGTCATACAAAGATAGCACATGACAAAAATACTATGGGGAGATGACAGAAGACCAAGGAGAAGACAAAAAGTTTTAATGATTTCATGGGCATTATAATACACAAAGGCAATCAAATCAAGTCTGCTTAATTTAAGTGTTAACTTCAGATGCTGCCTCATCAAAGGCACCGAAGCCCAGTGGGTCTCACACAGCCACCTAAATAACTTCTGCAACAAATGGGGAACAGATGGTATCTCTGAGACTCTGCAGCTGGAAAACCGGCCCATCTCCCATCGGTGCTTCCTGGTGGTGATGGTGGTGTGCTGTGTAAAATGCGCAACGCATGCCAGGGAGGAGGGCCTGGGACTGTGCTTCCCCTGCAGCATCCTAATAACTGGTTTTAGTCACCATTCCCCTCTATACTCCATCTCTTCTTTCACATTTTATCCCTGGACTCAAGTTTCTCAAGATAAAGCTGCAGAGCAGCAAAGGGAAGGATAACAAGGGTGCTCTCCTGAGATATAGCCAGGATCGGGATAAACCCCTCAGGCTGAGCAGTGCCTAGACCCCATCTTCCAACTTCTGAGTGAGAGCACTGGTCACGAGGCAGGAGGTTAGGTCCATGACTTAGTCTTGTCCCTATCTAATTTTTCAGTCCTCTGCAACAGAAATAAAGAGTCCAGGTGCCTACCCACGTACACCAGAAACACAGCACAGCTTTAAATAAGATCTAAGTGCCTGCCTTTCCATAAATGGCACTTCTGAGCATACGTGGGCATCTAAAATTAAGTGTCCAGAGAACTCTCCAGCTAAGAGGGAGCCTAATGAATCTAGATATCTATAGGGCAACACCAGAGAGCAGGTGAACGGCTTGCTGCCTGGGTCTTAGGCAACTCAATCACAACACAAGCATATTGAATCCTGTCAAATGTCACTGGAACTGAGAGCAAAGTGCTGACATACCAATGCTGTATGAAATCTGCTCCTCAGCAGAGCACGGGGATGGAACCTGCATGTTTTCACTCAGGAGGCCAGGCCCACATGTGCTTTCCTTCTCTTTTCCTGCCGAAGGACCCCAAACATTGAATTCTTGTTGATTAATAAACACCAGATTGTTTTCAAAGGATATTCTCTTTCACTGTAAAGCATCTGGTCGCTACGTAGCTCTCAAAGGAGTATGAGCTTTTATAAGAATTCAAGTCCTTTTGGTCTTTCTGCAAGGACAGCCGTTGGGGACAGAGAAACCAGAGCCACATGTGGACCTGTAACATCACAGGACTCCTTTCTGCAAAAGAAATGGATGCCCCTTTTAGGTCTAAGCGGAGCATTTTCTGAAGCTATGCCAAAATCAGGGGATGTAAGAGCACTTCCAAACCTTTCCCTGTCTTTTTTCTGTGACACGACTCAGGGTGTGGATGGTGGGGTTCTGGCACGCTGGGCCGTGTGTCACCGTGCACTCACTGCCCGTTGTGGTCTGCAGGAGCCAAACCATGATGGTCAGAGGTGTCACACGCCTTGTGGGCACAGCAATTACTCAACTTCTTTTACCTAACAAAGCTAATGAATTGATGAGTAAAAGGAGAATCTATTATTTAAATGCATACAGAAGAGAGATACACACTGGTGAAAGATGGAAGCGTGCATTCACTTTTAGCTCAGGAAATGAAATGACACAACAGACTATTTGTTGTCCTCTTCATCAGGAATACACAAAGACTGCCAAAGATACATTTTTAGAACTTGTTGTTTTCTGATATTAACAATTTGGTTTTAAGTAAGCGCCCATAATGTGGTTATTTACTCACCAATTCACAATTTAAATACAGGTATTAGACTACAATAGTGAGAAAAAGACTGCAGGGGAGAAACACCTCAACTCACCTTACAGACTGATAGCAAGTCAGGGAGACAGTATGTCCCACTCTGCAGCACATTTTATGCCTCCTTAAAGATGGCAGTATCTACACGTCAGACCAAAAAAGGCTGTGCTGGCAGTTCACCAAGCACGGGGGTAATACACCTCAACCGTCTGGATGCCGTAGCCATCTTCCTCTTTATTACGACAAGGAAGATGTCCAGAGAGATACTAGACCCCAGAAAAATGTGGACTCCTGTGACTGAGACAAACAATCTCTGCTGGGACTTGAGTGCGAATCTCGTTTGGCCGCTTGAAACGTGGCGCCGGCTCTGGGCTGCATTACAGAGCAGCGCAGTCCAGTCACTGTCTCAACCCTTTAAGAATTTCTCATGAAATAAAGCAAACAGCTGTAAATGATCAGTAAAGCGGAGGAATGAAGACACATTTAGTGGGGAACGCTGATCAGAAGGGAATGAGGATCTTACATCACACAACGTGCTATGCTCCAAAGCAGCGAGGATCTTCTCCTAAGCAACATCCCAAGTAGAGTTAAGCCTCATGTATGTATTCCCAGCACTTTATACTGTCAGCTAAGGAGCAGCACTAAATCGACAAAGGACATCAGCACACATCTGTCACACAGCTCACCTGCTCCCCATTTTGTGGCATATTTCTTTATTCATCCGAGTATCCCCTCTGACTATGTATTGTCACAGAAAACCATAAAAAAGCTTTCCATAGCTTTTGAAAGTTGCCACACACATACAAACACATGCAGCATAAATCTGCACTAAACAGCTCAAGGATAGACTGTTAATGCTCCAGCTCTAACATTTCACTGTGTAGCTGAGATCAAGACCTTTCCTACCTTCACCAATTTCGCTGTGAGCTCCCCAGCTCTCAGGCTTATGTTGTTAGTACTGTAAGGAGGCTGAATATGAAGTGACAGTGCTATCTTACGGCCATTTAATTCCGTGGCAAAAACTCCAGGGAATTTAGTGAAGGATGAGACCCCCTCTGCCATTAGGAAAGATCTCTTCCCTTTTTACCTGTTTCATGCTAATCCCCTGCATTAGAGACTGTCAGAGGAGGGCTTTGCACAGTCTAGCCATTCCCAGCAAAACGCCCTTAGCCCTCTGTGAATGCTGAGCCCCTAAGTGCTTATTTAGCTGCAGAGCAACCCCAGCACTCCTTGGCGATTGCTGCTGTTTTGTACTAACAGAAAGCAAGCAGTACAAGCAACCATACTGCAGCCCCCTGCTGCTGCACTCAGTCACAATTTATTCCCATCCTACAAGATGTTATGGTTAAATATGCTGCAGATTTGGATCTGATATTTTTCCCCGTATCAGCAAGATAAAAGAAAGAGAGAGAGGGAAGGAGAGAAAGAGAGCGAGCGTGTGAGCACAAGACCGAGAAAAGCATCGCTGCTTGGAACCAGGAACAAAAGAGATAAGTGCACCCATACTAGGACACAGTGTTGTAGTCACAGAAACCTCACTAATGACTAAAGCATCTGTCTATCAGAGAGCCAGACTGCGATTGCATTTTGCTCCTGGAAGGAAACAAACAGATTCTAAAGTGCCCGTTATAACCTGCAATCAAACAGGAGATCCATCCCCTCCTGAACGAGAGCAGACAGTGGGCTGGAGCTTGCTGCCACAGAAATGAGTGAGAGCGGTGCATGGCGTGCAAATCTGATATGTGCATCAGCAACATCATGCGCAGCCGCTTCAATTATGGCTAAAATTAAAGCAGGTGGTTTCAGATTTCGAGTTTTATCCCCTTTGCTCCCGTTGCTGTCATCTGCTTAATGAATAACAATTGCTTTCTTTTTGCACGACCTCAGCAGAGCTGCACTTCCCAGCATTTGTTTGCCAACCAAGCAGCAGAGCTTTAAAGACGTAACTGTGCGGGTTTTTTTTGGTAAACAAATGCCAGGCTTCTAGGGTCAGGAACACAGAAAATTCAGCCTGGACCTTTCAAACCAGAGCAGGGCTTTATCAAGTGGTGTTTGTTGCTAGGGACTACCGATGTGCAAGCAAGAAATCTGTCTCCTTACATTGTAGTTTACAGGCTAGGACGTATATGCAGCCCAAATATTTTGCTCTCAGTTGGTGCTGAGTAATTGCTGACTTCTCAGGTAGTACTTCCAGCCGGTTCTCACAGGCTGGCTTTGGCAGCACCCGTGCTGCAACACTTTCTTCCCCGTTGCCATGCGAGGTTAGGGACTCTGAGGAGAAAGGCACTGGCTGGGTTGGAGTGGAGCTGCAGAGCTGCAGCTCTACGAGGAGAGCTGCCCCCTGAGAACAACAGTGGCTCCCAGAAGCACAAATCATCCCCGTGCCTGCCTGTGGGATAACGTGGCATATTCCAGACAGGCGGAGGAGCACCCTGGGAGGGCTGGTGCAGAACCAGAGGAAGCTGCACCCCCTCCTGGGTGTTCTGCTCTGCAGAGCTCCACACTCCCTGCAAAATGGGAAACATGTCTCTCCGAGACAGAGAGAACGGCAAGCGTTGTCTCTGCTTGTCTGTGTAAAGCAGCTTTCTGTGGAGGTTTGCGTTACTGCAGCAGTCAAGAAAGGGGCAGTTGTGCCCATCAAGGCGGAAGGGCATCCCAGATGTATCTTCTTCCACTCGGAGGGACAGCAGGTGTCACGCTATATGGCTATCACAAACCCCCTGTGCTGTGGATAAGCTGCTGCTCAGAAGCAGGAGTTCGAGGCTGTCAGGGTGGCTTTTGGACCAGACCCTGTTCCATTATACTCCAATAGAATTTTACACTGAAAAAAAAAAAAAGGTATTATGCAAACCTACCTATCAGGTCCACATGCACAGACAAGAAAGCTGTACTTCAGCATGCAGAAATGCTTATGTGGGCACTGAAACCACGGGAACAAGTCCTTTTATTTTGCAAAAAGAGGGAATTAAAACTGCAGAGCAGTAATCACTGATTGTTTTGACATACTGTAAATGCCTTTGATTGGCAAAAGCA